AAGCACTGTCTGACGCGTCTGCCTCCGCGACCCGGAAGGAGAAGCGGCGATGGAAGATGAAGATGAAGAACTCAGTATCGATTTTTCAACGCGGTTAAATCTATTCCAAACAGCGTCTTTTCTTCTACTGATTTGACCTTCTACCAAATCGAATTCGGTTGGTCGATTTAAAGGCCAAGGCCACTTCATCGAGTTCTTTGTCATTCATGTAGTCATAAACCTTGAGGCAGTGCTCGTACCACTTCCATTTCGTTCTAGACAAGTTCATCCCCGATCAAACGGCACGACATTATTATTGCCCTGCAACTGCTGAATCACGGAGCCGTTCGAGTTTTGTCGTGCCTTGAACGAAGACGATGCAGTAAGTTCAGTCTTTAAAGTAAGAAATTACGCGATGACATCGTAACGGAGATCAGCATCACAGGATCTGCTTCGTAAGACAACAATGCAGCAAACGGTGCCATACGAGAAAATGCAAAAAAAATCATCGTCTCAATTTCTGAACTTAATCGTAACGTTCTTTCGCCCGAAGCTGAATCGACTGAGCTCAATCGCTCTGCGCAGCCTACGTTGGTCCGTGAAGAGAAGGGGCAGCGTCAGTCAGTTTCATTTACCTGTTGAAGAGAAATGCGTCCTGGCTGTTGTAGTGTCGCGTCCTAAAGGAAGAATGAAAGGTAAGATGAAAACGGTGTGATATGGACAACACCTGGAACGAGATCTGGCCCGGAATGACTTTTTGGACAACGAAGAACCCTTTGGATTGACCGGCACTGACTCCAGATTGGACACTAACAAATTGACGGCAGAACGCATCTCGTCCAAGTACAAAGTCTCCATGTCTTTAACTACAAATTTCGGCATTAGCTTGCGGTCCTAAAAAACAAAAATCTTCTATGAATAATACATTTTGCCCCAAAGGATCATAAACAGCATAATTAAGGAAAAGATGCATAACATCTCAAAAGAAGGGACAATTCTTACTTTTACTTCAGTCTGATGATACTGCTTTATCACCACTGCAGAGTCAAAAGAAAGGATACTTTGGGTTCTATACTTTTTAAGACAATGAACCGTGAACAAAGTACACTTACAAGAAGGAGTCAGGGGATTAAAGACAGTCGAGCAAGCCTCGGTGTACTCCAGCTGCTTCTTCACATCGTGAAGTCAAAGCTGCAATTATTCTTGTTACAGCCGTAACAGTTATCTTACACCAGAGATGTTGTCAGTGGAGCATCGAACTCTGAAACGATAGGTCTCAGGTTCGATCACTGGTTCTTTTTTTCTTTCCGAGGTTGATAAATGAGCCCCACTATAAGGGAAACAGACAAGAGACTAATCAGTATGCTTGCCACGTACGTGTTGTCGACTGTGCCCTTAACAAGCTCAGGACAAAATGGGTGACAAAACGGCTTCATCAAGAGAGTGTAAGGAAGACCGGAACGCAAACAGTTATGTTTTCCTCCTTCTTTTCCGACAGTGCTCCTACCGGCTCGAGCGGGTACTCTGTAATACTCAATGGCACTGTATAAAGTTGGCTTAAGTTTCCAGGAAAGTTAACATCGAATCTTTCAATCAAATACCAGGTTAACAAAGGAATCAGAAAAGTCATGTGTTCATACCTTGGCCATTTCTTGAACCATCTGAATGCGACTGTCTAATTCTCGCCGAATTACGGCCGCCTGTTCGTCTGGATTATCGAGCTAAAAGTAAAAAATAAATATCTGCTTAAAAACAGTCTCAAAAGTGCTTTGTTAAACACCTCACGGATAATCAGGCTGTGAACTGGAATTTCTGGTCACACTGCATTTGTTTACAATTAATTTGTGAAATTCCCTGAGCAAAATTTTGCTTTGCAGTAATAAAACCAATCGATGAAGGGGTCCGTCAATACTTGTTTTGGGACTACGTTATGGTAGTTCACTCAGTAAAGCATTAGACTGAGAGTGAAATAATTATGGATTCGAATCGTGACTCGTTCATCATCCTTTCCAGGTAGACGAAACAGCGTCGCTATGCGGGACAGGACAAATAGACTAAACTCTATATCTAGTAGCCGCCTAGCCGAGGATGCTTCCGTAAAACTAGCAAGGTAGCCGATTCTCTCGAATGGTATCAAAGTGCAGATTAGCGATGAAAAGCAAGCCTTACAGAACCGTGCTAAGAATGGGGCCACAAACATTCTCACATTCGATTGGCTGCTAACTTTCCTTTGCTTGTGATTATCTTTCTTTATAATTCCCTCTTTGTAAATGAAAAATCAAAATTGTTTAAGGAGCAACCTATGGTTGTAGTGCATCCGCTCATGAATCCTCGCTTTACACACAGGAGTGAGCGAAATCTTAGCTGAACTTGTGCGTAGCGTTAGACACCATATGAACTGCAACAGGAAGTCAAAGGACATTTCCACGATGCATCAAGTGCATATCTAAAAAG